TGTTAGGATGAAAACTCTCTGCCAAGTTCTATTAATTTTTTGGCTTTTGTTTTTGTTGTTCAGTGCACAAATTGTCATCAGGTAGTGGATACAATATAGCACTTTAGGAACCTATTTTTGGTGTTTATGAACCTAATTTTGATGTTCAGAACTTATGTTGGCTGCATAGTGGATATTTTGCACATTTGAAATGAATTGTATCTATTTTTGCTTCAATTTTAGTTTATTTTAGCTTCAACAGGTAGTGGTTATTTTTGTTTCAGTTTTCGGTCAATTGGTGGATGAATTGTTTTCAAATTCTGTGATAGAATTGTATATTTGGGGACTTTTGAGTTGGTGTGTATCAACAGGTGATATATGGAAGAAAACAGGGTACGCTCTCACCAAAATTTTTAAAAAAGGTAGGGACGTTATTCGCAAATTTTTCTAAAAGGTAGGGACGTCACTCGCCAATACTTTTTATAGGTAGGGATGTCTTAAGAAAAATTATAACTACGTAGGGATTATTAGCGCAATGTTCATTAGATTCCCAAAAAAAGTGAACAGGACCCGTCATCTTCACCAATAAGCCAAAATGAGCCAGTACCACTGAAATGATAAATACACAGCACCCATTTCCACTTGATCTTCGCCATTTACCCCATGGTCACAATAAGCATAAACTAGAAACAAAAACCTAGTAGTTGTCTTTATAAATTGACCACCCATTCAATATATGTCTTGCTACATTTTTCTAGAAACCCAACATTAGAGCAGCAATGGTGGACCTGGTGGTTGGATTTCACCATATATGTTCTTCACGACATTTTTTCCTTCATTTAATGTAATAATTTAAAGTATTTTCACACCCATTTTCCAGTTACCGTTACTATGTGGACTACGAAGGCGGGAAGAAGGGTTCAGTTGGGTGAGGACGATTTTACCCCTATTGACCAGCAAGAAATTGAGTCTCTCTCTTTAATTAACGGTAGAAGTGACAGGAGTTGGACGGAAGGACTTTCGTCGCAATGAAAGGTTGATTTGAAGGCAAAAATGTCAAAAAATGAAAGGTGAGGACGTTTTACACAATGAAGTTGAAAGGTAGGGACGTTTTGCGTCAATTACCCTTGTTCAAAATACCTCGAATGACCATTGTCGAGTTAACCCCTGTTCAAAAATTAGAACCAAAAATATACAATTTCCTCTTTCATTTTCATGTTAAGCATTCAAAATTTCACTTTTATGTACCTCACAGTTTCCTTGAATATGTGTGATTCCAGAATCACGTTTTTAGCATAAGCATATAGCACGAGAAAATTCAAACACAAAGGATTTTAATGTTCAAACTAACTGAACGTAGATCCACAACATGGGCCCTAACACTCAGCTTACTTACACATTATTTATTGATTATACCCCATTAAGAGAAATAGAAAATTGATCTTCAGGGCTGTGGTCTCCTTGCATCATCTTCAGTTGGAGAAACGTAAGCTGCCAAAATTAACATAAGCATACAGTCAAAAAGATCTGAGACTACACCCTACTACGGCAATACCTTTCTTTGTAAATTAGAAGTAGGTTACAAGAAGCTAATGGACGTTTAAGTACCCCAGCCTGAGGGAAGTATCATAGCCATGAGAATTTCTGATACACTCGGACGGATTGCTTTGATGAATACCATTAACGGTGCCTTCAGATTTCTGCATAAACTGTTCACTCAACGACTTAAGAACGCGAGAATTCACTACTGAATTCTAATGCATGCAGTGCAAGAAATGATGTATAAATTTGGAAAATAAAAGATCAACGCTCACATCTGCTTGCTGTTTCAGCATGGCATTTTCTTCCAATAATTTAGATTCCTGCATATCACAAAAGTTTAGCTGAAAACCCAAGCCGTTAGTTGTGATTTTATTTTTTTACGGGGCTTATTTCTTAACAAGGAGCAGCATGATTTATTTTTTTGTCAAAGGACAGAGTTTGTGGTCTTGCCTTTTTCTTGAGCAAACTGATCTCTTTCAAAAACTTTTCATTCTTCCCCATCGAAAGACAGAGATGTTAGCACAAAGAAACACAATAGGAAACGCTAGAAAACACGAAAGTGTATGTAATAATACCCTTGTTTCCACAACACTGTTTAATCCTCTTTGTACAATTTTCTCCAGTTTCATCAACTGATCCATGTCAAGTCCTTGGAGATCTTCTCCACTGAGTTGCCTATTACAATTCCTATTGTATCTCAACTGTGTAATGCACTTCAATACGTGTAACAAAAAAGCTTTGATTTATAACCATGTCTTACCTTAATTCACGAGTCTTATCCTCATGCATCTTGCTGAGCATGCCACAGCTATTATTTTCCTGAGAAGAAAATGCAAATAGGGTTACCTGAATATCACACACAACATAATAATTTTATCTCGTAACAATATTGCGTTTTGGACATTATATGTGGTTTTTCATGACATAAAGTTTAAGATCTTACTTAAACAAAAAATATTTTCTTCAAGAAGTTAATATTCTTTAATTCCATCAAAAAATATTTTCTCTTCTTCTCTTATCAGTCGTTCATACCTAATCACATTCGCACTCAACTGGAAAAGGTCAGGAAATTTCTTGTCTTGGAATTTCTTTTTTAAATCAAAGCTCAAACAGCCCTGAGCGATTTTGACAAATTCTTTTTCGGGCAGAGGTACAAAACACTTGCTTCTTACTATTTTGAACCTTTGGAGAAAACTTTCTGCCCATTTGTTTGGCATTTGACGTAGATTCGCCAAATCAGCCAAAGTGACCTCAGACTCAGTTTTATAAAACTGAGCGTGGAATAATTGTTCCAATTGTTGCCATGTTTGAACAGAGTTCGCTGGCAAGTTGATGAACCAGGAGAAAGCTATTCCTGTTAATAAACTAGGGAAAAGCCTCATTTTATGATAATCGGTCACATCACCACTTTGCAATGTGGATCGCCCTATGTGTTCTAGAGTAGACACCTCTCCTAAATCGGTAAATAGTGAGAATTCTGATACTTTATATCCTCTAGGCTATGGATATGCTTGGTCTACCCAATCAGGATATGGCTTTGTGTAAGTTGGCTTAATGACGGGACGCACCCCAAAAGTCATCTGATCCTGTACGATTTCCATAATCTGATTCCTCAACATGACGTTGGGGTCATATGGAATTCCTACAGGTTGGTTAACCGGTTGATTTGCATGAGGCCTGATATTTGGTCCTTGATTGGCAAGAAAGTTACCATGATTAGGGCCATTACCATTAGCCTGAACATCTATTCCCTCATTAACACGTGGGGTATTCTGTCCATTGTTTAGGACATTATCTCTTATATTTGGATTACCCCCCAAGTTAGACGTACCACTACCATTGTTCTGATTTGGCACTGCACCACCCCCTTGGTTTGAAGTAGAGGAACCAGAAAGTAGTTCTACCCCTTGATTCGGATTTAGGACTGAGGGATTATGTCCCACAATTGTCCTAGTTTGAAAGTGATTTGCAAGAGGTATAACCGGTTGACATATTTGACCTACTAGCTTATTCATTGTTTCGTTCAAAGTGTTTAGTTGTTTGACCATGTTGTCATAATGTGCATTCCCATTTTGGGTAAATCTTTCCATATTATGAATATTTCGAAGATTTACCTGTTCAACGACATCTTGTGTGAGTTCTCCAAGTAATGCACGCATGGCTCGAGGACTCAACTCTGTCATTGGTTCGTAACGACTGTTACTGCTCTGATTCTGTCCATCTGTTTGTGGAGAGGCATGCTGCTCCTCATATCGCTCGATCACAGACTGGATTCCTCCCTGACTTGCTGCTTCCTTATCGGATTTAAAATTTAAAATCTAAGCTAAGAAATTTAAAATTACATGTTCTCTGTTCGAAAGTTTTTTGATTTGGTCCTCTTGCTCTATGTCCTTCCTTCCTTTTATACTCTCTGGATGATCTCTTTGTGATCAACCGCCTAAAAACTGCTGGATCGTTCTATAACTGCCCACTTTCCTAGTAATGGCCAACTTGTCATGGAACTACCTTTTCTAGCTGCTGCCATTACTCTTTGTCGTTCAACCGTCTTCAATTAAGTTCCTTGAATCGTGGAATGTGATAGGACTGCTTTAATAACTGCTTTGATAACTGCACTTCTTGATAACCACAACACTTCATGTTTGCTAAGACCTTGGGCGACTCGAAAGTTTGGGCGAGAATAGAGTAACAGCTCTGGGCGACTGCATGGCACTCCATTCACTCAGATTCTGGGCGACTTGCAAACTTGGGCAATGGTGTTACCACGTTCCTGGGCCTCCCTATTTGGGCCTTCATCTTGAATTGTCTGATTGGGCTTCATTCTTTGGGCTATCTGATTTGGGAATCCTCCAATTGGGCTTCATTTCTTGGGCCGTTCGATTGGGACTGAATTTTTATGTGTCAACAGTACCCAATACGAAACTCGATAGAATGATTTTTCTTTTTTTTTCTTCCTACTTTAGTACATACAATTTAACCATACTAAACACTAGAATCTGATCATTGCAAATGCACGCAGTTTCATTTGCTTTTGAGTAAGATGGTTGAAAATAGGAATCAATGTGGGCACCTAGATATCCCAACTAGGTTAGCACCCCTTTACCACCTGCATCATCTCCCAATCCCCAACATTTCATTAATTATATCGAAAAGAAAGAGTACGTCAAAATGGAAGCAAGTAGAATATAAGTTAACAAGAATTATATAGACCTTATTTATGCGTGTACGAGTGTGATGAACATCTTAATGCTACTTTGGAGCGTTAGAATATATAATCATTAAAGCTATTAGATAAAATAAATTAATTGAGTGCCCTCATAGATATTGATTATTACTTGCAGATCCTTATACAAAGATTTTCCATTCCATTTACATATGTGAGATGCTAACCTTTGAAACTTCAATAGGTTTATGTCTTGTTTAAGAATCCGGAGCAACCAACAGAACCAAAGTAACTGTGAAACATAATATCTGATTGAACAGTAAACCAATGGATTTTTGAACCAGTCCAATCGTGTGGAAGCTCTAATCTTTATTTTCTTGTTGAAGGTACGAGGCATGAGAAAAAAGTTCATAATTATGGGTAGCTAAAAACTTCAACTTAAGAACTTGTAAAACATATGTCGAAAGGAGTATGATCTTGACAAGACAAAATTGGATAGTAAAACAACTAATTCCTTATATATTTTCTAAACTTAATTATGCTAATTTTACTTACAAAGCATGAACCCTAAAACAATAACACAGAAATCAAGCCATCGCTCAAATGAACATATTTAATAGCATTAGCCCACTATCAATGATCAATAGTTTTGTTGAAACCACCTCCAGAGGCTATAATCCTTATAATTTTGTGCCATCCTAGTGTTCACATTTTCCTACATGATCATTGTCATTTCAATTCTACATCCTCCCCAGCGAACACCACCTTCACCAAAAGCTAGTTTAGAAATGCATGCAGGAGAAAAATATGTGATATATATCAGTGTAGCCTTCGCCTCTAGTTCTGTCCGATTATTTAATCACACTTGTAGATTATTTGCATCCATAAACGAGCTACAATTTACTACCTTATAATTTCCACTACTGCCCATTTAATTCGCACTTTCTCAGAAGAATGGTCTCTCGATCATTTTTACTGTGGTTTCAGCCCATTAAAATCTTTCAATACAAAACGAGCTAAGTGATTGAAACTCAGTCGCCAAAAGCATCAAAGCTTCGACCACAGTAGCATGTTGTGTGTGTCTGTTCAGGAGCTAGAGAAGAGAGGAAATTAGAGAACCTTGAGCTAGAATAATGGAAGAGTTTTCCAGTGGCAGAAAAAACAATAAGGGCAACCTCAGCATCACAAAGTGTAGAGAGTTCTTGAGCCTTCTTACAAACCCCTCTTCTTCTCTTTGAAAAGGTCACTTGGCGTGCCGTCAAGTTATCAATCTTCTTGATCTGAATCTTCTCTCTCACCATTTTCACCGTACACTCACTGCGAAAATAATAATAATAATAATAATAATAATAATAATAATAATAATAATAATAATTCAGCTTTTTTTGTACAAAATAAAAATCTTCAACAGTGTAACATTTACAAATTCAAGGAAGAAGAGATGATAACCTCCACCAGGAGAAGTGAAACCCTAAGGAGAGAGAGTAGAAAGCATCTGAAATTCGAAACCAGCTGAAGTGGCAGAGAATAAAGTGGGGAGAGAGAGAGAGAGCGCGAGGGGTGTACACTTACAGTTTACTGTAGAGGGAGGGAGGGAGAGAGAGGGGTCTACAGTTTACTGTAATTGCCCTTATGGGACCATAAAACTGGACACTCCAATGGATATATCGGGTTCGACATGATCCGGTTCGGTTCGATTCTAACGAGAATCGAATCGATCCGAAATTTTCGAGTATTTAGTAAGTGGAATCGTCGGATTCAAATTTAATTATGAAACCGTTCGGGTTCAGTTTCATTTGATTCGATTCGATTCGGTCCGGTTTGATTCCATTCGGTTCCGCATTATAATTAAATTTTTTAATATATACAAAGTTACATTAATTTAATTAATGATATGTTCAATATTAGCTCTTACAAAATAACGTAGTCCAATCTTATGTGTCTTTTACGTTTCTCTTTACTGAATTCTACATAAATTTAATCATTAAAATCGCAGGAAGAGAAAGATAGTAAGCTCAAAGTAATTAAGAGAGATATTGTAGAGTTTTAATTCGATTTTCTCCAGTAGAAACGACACTATTGAGGTCAATTTGATTAAATTGATTTTGAACTGAAAATTAGAAATAGAAAAATCATATTTTGTGGTTTGAACTAAATTAACTAGTTAACAAATTTATTTAGAAAAAATAAAATAATTTTGCTTATTTAAAATAAATAAATTAAAAAAATTAAAGAGATTCGATTCTTCAGGTCTTGGCCTAGAACGAAAGACAAACCGTACCCGTTGATTCTTGATTCAAATATCCGTTCGGGTATTTTATTTGAGAAGAACCATCGGGTTCGGTTCGGTTCGGGAGTTTTGTTCAGTCTTATGGATATATACATACACCTGTTTTCGAGTGTGCCAACCAATTATGTGTGCACGTAAAGAAATAAAAACGGATACTTTACATTATATAATTAAATTTAGCTTATTAATTCTTTCAAAAATGTTATAAACTGATATTATATTTAACTGCAATTGTAATATTCTATATCTACTTTTACATTAAAAAAAAATTTCACTTCAAGAATAATCGAAATAATTTGATCATGCGTGCACCAAGTTTAGTTGATTGGAGAAAGATAAGAGTCTCGATATGTTGGCAATTGCGTCTAAACATGACTCTTAACGAAATATATGATGTAAAATGCTATAATTGTCAAATTAATAAAAATGACATTTTTTTTTATCGAAGTAGCCTTTCCATAATTGAAAAAAAAAATGTATTTAACATAAAAAATAAAAATAAAAATAAAAAATTGCCATAGCCAAATTCTTGTTCAAAAATTATTTATTTTCTCTTCCGTTCTCATGTTAAGCATTCAAACTTTCACTTTGATGTACCTTACATAATCTTCCTTGGAAATCTAGCAAATCTCAATTCAAAAACAAAGGATTTTAATGTTCGGATGCCACTTAAATCCACAACATGGGCCGTAACACTCAACTCACTTGCACAAGAATTTATAACGATATCTAGATAATTATATTCACGCTACAATTTTTATTTTTTACATCACATTTTAATTATATTTGAGTTCTTGATCTTTGCTCATTATAAAATTTATATCCTTAACAATTCTTCATATCGTTCTTATTCTTAAATTTTTCATTAATTGACATCTTTTGTATCTAATAACAGTTTTACGTCCAAAATCCGTCGAATGGCATAAAACAACTAATATATTCATCATATTTTTAAAAAAAATAAATAAAAAGTGTAAAAAAAAAACAATTTCCCTCGTTTTAGAGTATAAAAGCAAAATATTTTGATATAAATCATTATTAAGAACGAGACATACTAATTAATAGAATGTTGAAAATAAGAATTCGACTTTAAAAAAATTAAGGAAATAATTGTTATAGTGAGCAAAAATTAAGGAGTTTAACTATAATTAAAATGTGGTGTATCAAATAAAAATTGTGGTAATAATATAACCACTATTAAGGAAAACAGACAATTATTCTTCTGGGATGTAGTCTCTTGGCATCATCCTTCGTTTGGGCTCATTAAAATACGTTTTAGGGGAAAAATGTATTTTGAAATAGATTTTTTTTGGAAAAAAAAAAATGTGTAGTTAAGAAAAAAGACACATTTTGAATTTACGTATAATAATATTTTATTGAAAAATATATAATTAAAAAGAGGAAAGAGTAAAATGTATTTTAAATAAAATGGAGATCAGACAGCCAACAGGGCTTAATTGGGGAAGGTAAACTACCAAAATTAACATCAGCAAACCGTCAAAAAGAAATGTGACTACACCCTATGACGACAACACCTTTTTGTGTAAATTTGAAGTAGGATACAAGAATCTAATGAAAGTTAAGTACCCCAGCCTGAGGAAAGTATAGAGCATGGGAATTGGTGATACACTTGGATGAATTGCTTTGCTCAACGCTGGTGGAGCGAAACCTGCAAATGTACGAGAACGTTAATAAATAATAAATTTAGTAAGTTGAAAATATCGTGCCACAAAGAATAAATTTCAATTCAAGTTCATTAGCTTTGTATTGAATTTGTATTATTGGACACAAAAGAGATTTTAATTTTGGCATTTAATCCAAATCATTCTAAGAATGTTGTAAAATTACGATTTGCATCATATTACGGACGACTGTATTGGATTTCGAGTTTGTCTATTGTTATATGATTCAATTCTCAATTACGTAATCTAGTTTTGTTCATGCATTTGACAATCGATAAAGTTAAGATATAAAACTTTCGTTTCTAAAATGAATTATTTTTATTTTAATCACGAACCGAGTCTATTTCTTCTATGAATTTGAATGATTAGAACGCAGATTATCTATATAATTGCACATGCAATATTGCTATTCTTAATATATATTGCTCATGTGTTAATCTTATCGCATTCTAAACTTATCGTGAGCTTCTCAACATTACAACAAGCAACTAACTATCAATTGATGATAAAGCAACTAGCTAACGTAATAGAAATGCAAAATTAATCAATAACACAAGAAAAACTAAATTATTGGTTTTGAATTAAAATAAATAAATAATAGAGTTCATCTTCATCCAATAAAAAATGGATCCAGCATCACATGATTTTATATAAATTAAAAAAAGAAGAATAAAAAATATCACCTAAATCATGAAATAATTCAAAAAACATTAATTTTTAAGTCCAAGATTGAATTCTTTAAATGCGTCTAATTAGGTTCCAAAAGAGCTTTGTGAATGTGTTCTATTTATAGGTGCCAAACATTAGGTGAAAATTACGTCTAATTGGGTTCCAAAAAGAGTTTGAATTAAAAAAAAAAAAAATCAACTTTTTTGAAAAAATTTGTAGTGTGCCCAAGCGCCGTATACTTTGTGTGCAGACACAGTATAACTGAATTGGCCTTGGGTTTGGGAATTTATTGCCTCGGACCTGCGCACCGTGCAATCCCCGAGCAGTTGTCGATATTGTTATCATAACTTTCTCTTCTAATATTCAATTGAGGCAAATTAAAGTACATTGAATAGATAACTCAAAGATATACAATTTTTTAAAGGTAGCATTTCTCCAATTCAAATTTTTACCATCCAAAAAATTAGTCTCAATTCAAAGTTGAAAATCAAGTAGAACTTGTTTAGTTGGAAATTGATTTTATTTCAATTTTTCACTTATTTGACTTCTAGTTGCATTCAACTGATCTTATGTGATATTCAATAATCGTTTTGTCGTCCGAATCAACTAATCGATGTTTGCACTATCGTCCCGAACTTCGAATTTCTTCATTTTCGCCCGATTCTCATTAATTTCTTTCAATTCTACCAATTTGAATTGAATTCAACCTAATAAATATAATTATCATATAATTATACGATAATTCATCCAAATTACTAATAAATACTCCAATTAAATGGCATAGATAAATGTACAAAATACACTTATCAAATACCATTTTTGATGCCTTCAGATTCCTTCATAAATGTTCACTAAACAACTTAAGAAAGCAAGAATTTACTACTGAATTTCAATGCACAGGCAGTGCGAGAAATGGTATTTAAAATTTGAAATAAAAGTCAACTCTCACTTCTACTTCCTGTTTCAACATGGCGTTTTCTTCCATTAATATAGATTCCTGCATATCACAAAAGTTAACTAAGGCCCCGTTTGGTAGTCATTTTTTTCAAAATGCATTTTCTCTCTCTTCTTTTTAACTACACATTCTTTATTAAAATAATATTACGCGTAAATAAAAAACTTTTTCTTATTTTTCAACTACACATTTCACATCAATTTACTGTTCTAAAATACATTTTTACATAAAAATGCCTATCAAACACCCCTAAAAATCAAACCCCCTTAGTTGTTTGATTTTATACTTTTATGGGATTTATCTCTTAACAAGGACCAGCATAATTATTTTTTCAATCAAAGGACAAAGTTTGTGGTCTTGCCTTTTTCATGAGAAAACGATCTCTTTCAAAAACTTGTCATTCTTCCCCAATGAAAGACATAGATGTTAGCACAAAGAACACAATAAGAAACACTCGAAAACACGAAATAGTGTGTAATAAAACCTCTGTTTCCACAACATGGTTTAATCCTCCTTGTCCCATTTTCTCTAGTTTCATCAACTCATCCATGTCAAGTCCTTGGAGATCATCTCCACTGAGTTTCCTATTACAATTACTATTGTATCTCAA